GCTCAGATACTGCCTGAAGTGCTCCAAAAGTCCCATACACTGTAACAAAATTATGTTACAGTGAATTGTATGGGACTCTCCAGGATACTTACAGTTCAGGCAATTTGTGTCCCCCCAAAGTTCAAATCCTGACCCTATTTCAGAGGAAAAAATGTAATTTTCCACACTCTTTTTCAGACCAAACCTCCAAAATCCATACCAGTTTTCAGATCTGGCCTTTAGTCAGAAATTATGTCATCATTACTTAGGTTATAATGCAAACAAAGAAATTCTCAAATCCATTTCGAATTCGCGTACTGGTATTCCCTCTTTCCTTCTTTCTTCGCGTGCGTGGGAGCCCCGCTAAAACGCGATCATTTCAAGGAGTTTGCAAACAAAGAAATATTGTCCGCATAGGTCTACATGATACAGAATTGTTTTACTCTTACTGTTATAACTACTTGTAGTATTTTGAACAAATCTTTTGCTTGTACAGTGCCATAATTCAATTATAATCAAACTCGATCATGGCCCCACAAGAATGGAGTACACATGGGACACTTCCTTCAATTTGCTTAAATTTAAAACTTAGCAAAGTAGTAAATTACAACTCACAGAAATTTTGAAGGTTGCATGCTTTCCCTTCATCCTGATCTTTCAATGTCTTCTAATTTAAATTGGTTGCGATTATTTCTTTCTGTCATCAAATATCCTAAAACTCCTCAAGATTAGCTGAAAAGTCTCCATTATGGTTCATGATGCACATACACAGGAAAAAATAACAGATTCCCATTTTTGGATATTTTAGGGTATTTAAAGAAATACCCACAAAAATCCCAAATTTGGAAAAGTCAAGATAAGTCCCAACCAGGGAATTCCCAACCAAGTTCCTTGGGTGGGACTTGTCTCACTCTTCCAAATTTGGGATTTTTGTGGGTATTCTTTAAATACCCTAAAATATCCAAAAATGGGAATCTGTTATTTTTTCCTGTGATACATGGTGAACATAGTTGCACATTCCAAGCATACCTAAATGGTTACTCGTTCCAAACATATTTGTGCTAACAATTTGGTCCCCCTTCATGTAAGCAGTAAAATAATGTATAGCTTATAGGATTGATATGGCTGTTACGTCATAAGTTAAGATTAATTATACGAAGTACTAAACCAATTTTCTACGCTTTCACATTGTGTCTAGGTGCTTCGCACTTAAGACACAAAAATTGGTTTCAGGATGTAGTGATTAAAAGATAGTCTGACGTTTAGCTTTCTGATTGTCTCATGTGTGTCTGTGAAGGAAAGATCAAAGTTATTTGTTGAATAACCTTTTTAGTATACCAGCTACCTGTAGCTAGTGAGCATAATGGAGTAATGTGCAAACAAGTATCTTTCTTTTGTCTTCTATTTTTAGGACTCTGTTTGCTGATCAAAGCATTGGCTGCCGAAGGTAAAAATTGTATAAATGAGGCCAGTTTTAAAAATTATCAATAATTTACAATGGCACAAATGGATAAAAATAATGCTTTTATCTACCCCACTGGGTTTTGTGAACCAATTAAAATTGCAGCTATCAGTGTATTTTTAAACACTCTTACAGTGCTTACTGCTCATACTAGTTCAACCACTTGAATTCCACTTTCAAGGCTTGAACTGCAAGTGCTAAGTAATGGCAACCCTCCCTTGCCAGCAGAACTAACTGCTGCTCATTTATTAAATCCCAAATATTTTTTTTTATTTTCTTTGCATGATCCTTAGTAGCCTGTTCCAGGCTCTCAGATAGTGGGGAAGACGCGAAAGTAAAAGACGGAAGGGAGAGAGAGCCTGTAATCATTTTTTTATGATTCCTCTTCCGCCCACTTTTGGCACCTTTGTGATAATTAGATTCCAGCTGTCAAACTGTTGAAATGTCAATCAGTTGGAATCTTTCCCAAATTTCACGCAAGATGATTTCGCGCAGTGCTAATTCCTTATGCGAGCATCACAGCGTGAGTGTAAAAAGCGGGTCAGTAGGCGGTGTGCGACAAACGCAGACTGCAGACTTGCAGACCGCAGACCTGCAGACTTGCAGACCTGCAGACTTGCAGACTTGCAGACTTGCGGACTTGCAGAGACGTTCGGAACTCACGGGGGGGGGGGATAATTGCCCCGCAGGTTCAATCCCGAGGAGGCACTCTAGTAACTTCAGCGTATATTAAGGAAAGTACTTACAGTTGTAATATACAGTCAGTATGGCAGAAAAAATATCGATTTGCTTGAACAGGGGCGCGAGGAATCGGTAGGTAATGATGACGTGATGAAGACAGAAAATTTCAAGGGACCGGTCAGGTAGATTTTGTGACATTTATTGTGCACTCATACTTGATACTCTTTTTGCGTTACTTGTTATCAGTGACATTCTGTGGAGCAGTTGGTTCAGTGAAAGTTATGGACCAAAAGACACTCGTTAAGCGCAGATGAAGTTATAAGGTGCGTACAACCGTGTATATAGAAACACTTGGAGATTTTACCAGACACGAGTTCACAAATCTTTGATTGGAAACCTTGCCAGACACTCTTTTCTCTCTTTGACCGGAATAAGACTCAGCCCGAAACAAGCAAGACGAGTGAACAACGGGTAGCTTATCACTAGCAGAACGATGGACGATTACAGAAATTCGCCGACAATCAAATTCTGTGCTGACTTATTTCCTGCTCACAGATGTCCTTCCGTTTTAAAGCCGCTCGATGATCCCACCCGTCTTCTTCTTCGCTGCTCTCGCTGAAGTTTAGGTCACCGTTCTTCCGATGTTAAGTCTTCCACGGCAAGGATTTCCAGTCACCTGTCGAATCGGGCACTGTTGTGTTTGCAGCCCGTTAGCGCTGTTGTTTGCCTCAGACATACTTTGCGATTCGCCAACAGTAAACAGAGGATGAATAAAATTAGTCCAAAGCTCTGTCACAAAAAATGTAGGTCTGCAAATCTTCGAGTCTGCAAGTCTGCTAGTCTGCAAGTCTGCAGGTCTGCAGGTCTGCAGGTCTGCAAGTCTGCAGTCTGCGTTTGTCGCACACCGGTCAGTAGGCAACACACGACTTTTACCTCGTGCCAAAATTGCTGCTTGTTCCAATGAATATCTTCTCTTATGGGTAGATTATGCTCTGTAGGGCTCTACATTTTGACTGAGCAAACTATGTTGCCGCTTGTTTCATGGTTAGAAGTCGTGACACGCATATTGATTTTCTGTGGTTATTGTTTCTGGTCGGCATAATATTGATGATTTGCCCTCTGATGCAAGAGCATTTTCTTTGACCTCTTTTTAAACGTAAAGTTCTTCATTTCGGATAAAGAAGGGTTTTAGGTTATTTTAATTTTCTCTAAAGTCCCTCCTTGATCTGAATAACTGAAAGTAATTAATTCTTTTGTTGCTTCAATGAGTTTTGTCATGCTGGGCTCAGCTCGTTAGTGTTTTTGAAGGATGTTAAATTCTTACAGTTAAAGATTCACAGATCCAAATTTCTAAGAATGGATTGCAGCTTAAACTGAAGCTACTTTAAATATGGAGAACTACGTTGTGAGTCAGTCAAGATTGCTGTTTAAGCAATGATTTTTAAACTCCAGCTTGTTTTCTGAAGAGATCCTTAGAAAATGTGATTCTGGACTGGAGCACGAAGATAGCTCCTAATCTTGTGACTGTTCTGTTATTGCCACTTTGTTATCTGGTAACACCAAAGCCGGTCGGAAGGATTGCAAAAGCATTTTTTCCTGGTGCCAAGTTCACAACGCAGGTCTTCTATTCCTTCCTCAGTGCTCTTATGTGTGGGAAATCTCGTAAACATGTGTTCAACACAGAAGTTATCTTCACGCGCGTGGAAGCCGCATATGCCATCATTCTGAGTGACAGGAACGACCTGCTTTGAGAGTGCGCTTTTGATATAATCTGTCAAATCTGACCAATCAGAGGGTATACCAGCTGGTATACCGGAATGGGTCGTTTAAAGAAATGATTACAGGCTTCAGTCCGCCCCTGCTCTCCCCAGTTTCCTCCCGTTTTATTTTCGTCTTCGCACTTTCTTAATTCAGTGGGCTGGGCTATCTCGGAGCCTGGAACATGCTAGATCCTTAGGTACAGTGTATCCCATTATCATTTATGGTGATATTTTGTTAGCCCATTTCTTTGCTTTATTTCTATACCTGCCAACTCTCACGGGTTAATAATAATAATAATAATAATAAGAAGAAGAATAACATTATGTAGCATCTATCGAGTAATAGATCTAGGTGCTTAACAAAGTGAAAAATTAGAATTAAAAGTTAATTAAAATACATAAATTTAAATTTGAATAAAACAGATATAAAATCAAATACATCTTTGTAATGACTAAAGTAAAAGTTCTTAAAAAGGTAGGTTTTAAGTTTATGCTTAAAAAGACTTAGATTCTCTCATGAGCATATGTTGTCAGGTAGTTTGTTCCAAAGTTCGGGGGCTGAGACAGAGAATGCTCTAGACCCATAGGTCTTAAGGTTAAAGCCAACGGGATTCAGACAGAGCGTAGAGGATGACCGAAGCAATCTCACGCCTGTGGACCACTGACAATATTGGTCTCATGCATCAATTTCTCGTGCCTGCGAGTGGACTCACAAATCCAGACAAATTGTTCTTTCAACACATGATTATATTAACGAAAATTCAATTCAATTTCTGCAAAAAATATTCTGCGTGCTTGATGCTTGATGTGCTTCAATAACTGAAAGTGTTGATTTATATGAATAAGACTCTGAGTGGTCACTTACAAGAGCTAAAAACAAAGCAAAAGTCCAGTTGGGTAATCCCAAAAGTGGTTGCGGTCGCTTGCCAGAGTGGTCGCTTAATATGCTTTTCATCACAATTAGTCACAGCTCAATCAGAGTTTTGCAAAGGTGGTTGTAACTAGAGCTGGTCGTTTATGAGAGAGTAGTCACAAGGAGAGCTTTGACTGTATAATTTGTAAATGAAATTAATAAATTTAATGGATTGCAATAGTGGGCCAGGTCCTAGTTGGTCACCATGAGGTTTATACAAGTTTTGCTATTGATCCAAAATAATTTTGTCAACCCACACGTCAATACCAACACTGACACCCCAGTACAAGATCCAATCCCAGCATGGGGACTAGGTTCAAATTCACTCCAACCAAACAGGACTGTACTTTGCTTATTCCAACTTAAGGGCCAGCAGTCAAACTCCTCCCTCCCCAGTTTCACAATTCTCTTCTGCCCCCTCCCCACCCCTAACATTTTATTGGTCACCTCCTCCCCCAGCTTGCATGTTTCAGCCATTCACATTATTTTTCTTAAAATTTATTTAACAAGCGTTGTATTTGCCAGTTTGCATTGATAAATTCATGGCCCTTCAGTGTGCAAAGAAGCCTGGGGCTAGTGGATTTTGTGCCTACGTATCGGGCTGGTAAATTCTGTTCATAATTAACAATTTATGAATGAGGCTGAGTATCTTATGAAGAATTATGGAGATCGAGGAGGGTGTTATCAGCCAAGGCGTATAACACCCCCCGAGATCTCCATGATTCTTCATATGATACGAAAGCCGAATTCAATAATATTGTTTTATTATTCATTCAAAATAATTCCTAGTTTAAAAACATGGCTAAAACATGCTTACCTCCATTGATCCATCGATGTTAAGTTCATCTTCGATAGTGCATGTTTAGGGTTGTTCAGCTCCGCAAATATTCTCCAAATAGCAGATGTTGCCCTTCGAGTTGTCTTCTTGCTGTTCTTGTTATGTTTTTAGCTATAGTTCTTACTCTTGAAACGAGTGAAATGTCTGCCATTTTTGTTTTCATAAGCAAAGCAACTTAACCTCTTCCCCAGGTCTTCTCGGTTAACGGTGCATTAACCTGCAAGAAAGCTGCACTTTTGATGTCATCTAGACTACGAGTAGTCCCCATTTTTCCTTAGGGATAGTAGAGCGAGCGAAATGCGAGCTCACGTGAAAATTGCCCCACGCGAGAAAAGGCGACACGCAGCGCGGAGAGAGAAAATTGAGGGACTACAGACAAAGCCAAAGCTTTTGACCCTTCACAGCCAACTGATTTTGTATCCCCTTCCAAATTAATTAAGCGCATCCAATGGCATTCCTTCCCTCATTGAGCTGTCATATTGCTCTTGTCTTTGGTAAACTGCGGGGGATATTAATTTTATTATACTACTACATGAGAAATTTCTGCAGTTTGATTGGCTTAGAGCAGTGGTATTTCAGCTTAATTTGAAATACCTACATGTGAAAATTACAAACCTTTTGTGGGTAGTAGTATAAACAAGTAATAGCATGATTTGTACGTGATATTTGGCATAAATACCACTTGTGATATTTCAAAATTGTCTCAAATTTCACTTGCCTAACGGCTCGTGAAATTATACGTATAACAATTTTGAAATATCACTCGTGGTATTTATGCCAAATATCACTACAAATCATGCTCTTACCTATACTAATTGCTAGCAAAAGAAAACCCAGATACTAATTTTTTTCACGGCTGTTTCACGTGATCAAGAACTGGATACGTAGGCAACACACGACTTTTACTCATGCCAAAATGCTACTTGTTCCAATGAATTTTTTCCTCTGACAGGTAGATTAAGCTCTGAAGGAAAAGGTTTGGTTGAGCAAATGTGCTTTTTGCCGCTTATTTCATACTGAGAGGTCGTGATACGCATATTAATTTTCTGTGGTTATAGTTTATTAAGGCGGCATGATTTGCCGTCTGATGCAAGAGCATTTTCTTTGATCTCTTTTGAAAGTAAAGCTCTTCAATGCGGCTAAATGAGGGTTTTAGGTTGTTTAATTTCTCCGGTGATTAATATAATGCCTCCTTTTGGGCTATATGTATGTGTACATGATGCTAGCCACAGGCACGCTGTAAAACTGACTTTCTTTGCACATGAGTGTTAGATAAAATTAATAGCATCACAATAATATTGTGTTGTTTATTTTCAGGTTGTTCTCAGAATATAACCTTGGTAGCTCCAACATTACCTGCACGAGGAAACTTTACTATTTTAACAAAGAGGACTTGTGGATGGTACATCACAGCTCCTGAGAATAACATTGTGTTTCTGGACCTTGTGTCGGCAATCTCTTCACCACCCTCTTTAGGGGACAGTATTGAGTTTTATGATGTCAATGGCTCAAGTTTAACTCGTATTCCATTTCATTTTCCCAATCAAGCTGCCATTGATCGTTACCTGTATGAGCTCCTCTATTCTAAGTTTCGATCTGTGTATGTTGCATTCAAGAGTGGTGGCAAGACAGATGATGAGTTAACTATTGAGTACTCATCTCTTCATCCAGGTAAGATTACTGGTGGTAATTAATCAAAAATATCACTGTTAAAACATAATAAATTTTTTGTTACCACATCAAAGAGAAAATTCTGAGCTTTTAGTTCTGCAAGAGCCTTAGTGGATTGAGTAGCTAGTGACCTAATCACTTCTGATCACCAGCTTACATAGCAAGCATTTTTGCATGAAAGCAAAAAATGGGAGTAGTGGGGGTGGGAGAGGAGTCATAGAAGGTTATTGTTCATTCTTTTGCTCTTGTTCCAGCTTAAGTGCATTAACCTCGAGCAGAAACACCTGCTACACTGCAGCGTGCAAAGAAAGTCGTGTCCAATAGCCCCGGGCTGGTCGATTTAAATTTGCTATCGGGCTTGTGATTTTTGTTCTTAACTTTCCCGACGGGCAAGTGCTGTTTTTGGGGAAAATTCAAATTACAGAAGGATTGTAATAAATCCTACTAATCAAAGAGGGTTTTGGGTCTAGTCGAAATGACTTTTGGGCTAGCTAGTACATGCTAGCTAGAGCTTTCCAAAATGGCAAGCTATAAAACTGACTTTTCTGGCACCCTGCACAGGCTACCAGATCACTCAAACGTTTATGAGATTATAGCCATAAAAAATAAAGGAAAATAGCAGGAAGAGGGGTGCTTACCATTTACACAAACCACCCGGGTGGAAATTCTGTGCATAAACATAAAACTATAGAATTTGATGGGGTGGGAAGACGAACTGCGTCAAACTATATCCAAATCAGCAGAGCAGACTACAAAGACTAGAAAAATTACTTCATCACAAACCACAGCCCATATTTTCTGAAGCTTCCCAGGAACGGAATGGCGCCAACCATTTGACTTTCCAACTGGAATTTCCAGAAATTTCCAAGTAAATGGTAGGTACCCATGAACTCTTTTATGTAGAAGCATTATGGCAAAGTGGTTCAAACACAACATTGAGGTCTGGTTTCAAGCATTGCCATTGCTTTGTTCCCTTTAGGGCACGAAAAAAGTCCTGTCTGTTAGTCAGGCAGGACAAGTAGATATTCTGGAGCAATTTTTAGGTTTCTCGGAAACTTGCCCACCTACCCCTCCCCTAAGCTGACAATCACATTATCACTTACTTCTCACTTAGGGCAAAATGATGGCGTAGGGGAGGGGTAGGTGGGCAGTTTCCCAGAAACCTAAATTGATCCAATGGTCCATCCATTGTTCTTGCTGAGCAGCTGAAAGGCTTAAAGCTTTACATGTACTTACCCGATGGGCAAGAGTTCAGCAAGTTATCCACTAACAAATCATTTACCCTTTAAGCCCCAATATCCACATCTAAATTCTCCACACTGATCTTCATACATTTATTTAAAGAGTTATTTGAGAGACTTAGATAACAGATCAAAGCATTTTCTCTTTAGTGATCATTTTTTTAAATCTCATAACCATTTCTCTTGGCATCATTTTTTTTTTAAATCAATATTTATCCAGGGGCATCCAATTTAGCAGAGCTAGTTAAATGGAGCCCTGACACAACACAATAACAAAGACATCTTAAAACATTAAAACTTGACAATTACTTAAGTTACAAAGGCATCAGCTACCGCAGGCATTACTGTTTAAAATGGCGCTTTAACTTGATTTTAAATTCACTGAGGGTCTCTACTTGTCTAAGGATTCTCGGTAGGGTGTTGTAGGTCCGAGCACCGTTTATTCTGTATTGTATTTTGTATTTTATTTTTACTCCATTTTATAGATAATACATTAGTGGTACAATATTAATTAGTACAAGGTTGATTAAACTACGTGTACATAATAAAAAAAAGAAAATTAGAATGGAGAAGGGCACATTATAGAAAATTAATCATGGCCCTTTAACAAGATTGACTTT